GATTTGTAACCACTATGCTACCAAAGCTACTTTGATGGCAGTAGGTTTGGTTTTTGGTTTGATTTCTATTAGGTGTGGTGGGTTGAGCATTGGGCTGCTAATGAATGGTTGGTAGTTCAAACCTACCAGATGAGGCACTTTGTTTCTGTAAGGATTTACAGTGTTGAATGCCCTATGGCAGCCCTCTGTTGTGAGTTAGAATTGACTGATGGCAGTGCGCTTAGTTTTGAGGTTATAAAAATGAATGCTTACAGGACTGGAAATTTAAAGTTGACTGACTGTAATGCTTGATGCTAGCCAGTGAAGATTTAATGAAGTTTCTATTTTCACTGGTATTGTTGTTGTTTTTGAAAGTGGCTGATTACGAAGTTTTTCGACTTTATATGTAATTTTTCCATAACCCCTATCATTTTTAGATTGTGATTTTACAGAATGCTTGGTTTTTCAGAAATGCTTATGGATGGCCTTGACAACTGTGAATTAGCAGATTGATATTCATAGTACTTGCATTCTCTGTGCCTCAGCTTTCTCATCTAAAAATAAAAAAAATAATAACACATATCTCATAGAGTTGTTGTGAGGTCTAGGAGTTGACTAAAAATACTTAGAATATTGACTGGTCCAGAGTAATTGCTGTCTAAGTATTGGCTAAGTGTTTGGTATTGTACATCAGGCTCTGTGAACTTGGTAAATGTGACTCTGCCTGTGGAAATGAATGCTATTTCAATGTGCCAAAAAGCAACTTAAAAACAGGCTCCCAAGGAGTGGTTCATTTATAAAGGTATGTGTTACATTGTGGGGATCTCTGTGAACAATGACAAGTCACCCTGCACACCTGACTTAGGTGTATGCCTTGATGTTTGAAACTACAAGTGAGAATTATTGAAAAACTATCTCAAGTGCCTAATAAGTTTCTAGTACACAATCTCCCCACAAGTGGTAGTCTTTGTCTCTCTTCTAGAACATTATACATCTTTGAACTGTCTGCTCAAAAGCACAGATTGGGAAGTGAATGCCTATCAGCCTAAGGATGTTGCTGGGTTAATTTTGAGCGTAAGAGAGCCTGCAACAATCTATTTCCCACTGAGTTTCTGGATGGAAGTAAATTTGACAGGAAACTGTTGTCTTCCCGCCTGCCGAGTAATGTGACTTAAGACCAACTAATGAAGACTTGCACTGGGAGACACAAGAGGTATCAGCACTCCTCCCTCTCCCATGGTTCAGACTCTTCGCTTTTCTTCAAGATGCAGCTCTAATGTCACTTCATCTTTGAAGCTGTCCCCTCAGGCTGAGTTAGAACCTCAGCTGTGCTCCTGTAGCACCTTCTCCAGCTCATGAAAATATGTTCCTATGTCTGTCTTCCTATTAGATTTTAGCTCCTTCTAGTTACAGCATCTTGTTCTTGAATGCTGTCAAGTTGATTTTCAATGCATAGCGACCCCATGTGACAGAGTAGAACTTCTCTACAGAGGTTCCAAGGTTGCAAGCTTTATAAAAACAGAACACTAGGTCTTTTCTCTCCTAGAGATACCAGATGGGTTCACACTGTCAGCTTTTTAGTTAGCAAGTGAGTGCTTAACCTCTGCTCCACTAGGGCTACTAATATATCTTAACCATACTCACGGCCATCAAGTTGATTCTAAATCATAGGCATCCTCGATAGAGTTTCTGAGACTGTAAATCTTTATGGGAGCAGACAGCCTCATCTGTTTGCTGTGGAGTGGCTGGTTTGCGGCTAGCAGCCCAGCACCTAACCCACAGCACTACCAGAGGTCCTTAAATGCATGTTTGTAACCTGTTTTGTTGTTGTTGTTAGGTGCCATCGAGTCGGTACCGACTCATAGTGACCTTATGCACAACAGAATGAAACACTGCCCGATCCTGGGCCAACCTCCCCAAAATTAGTATAGTACTTGGCACATAGTTGTTGTTAAGTGCCATTGAGTCAATTCCGACTCATAGCAACTTTATGAAGGGTTTCTGAGGAACAGCTGATGAGTTTCAACAGGACCTTGTGGGTAACAATCCAGTGCTTATCCTACAGCACCACACCAGGACTTCTGGCACAGATGAGGTGCTCACAAAAGATTTGTTGTTTTGTTTTGGTTTTCCTTTCTCTTGCCTTGTTTTTTTTTAAACCTAATCCTGGAGCTAAGGTAAGTAAACCTTCAGAACCCTTCAGGAGGCACGGACTAGCTACACCAAGACAGGTGGAAGGCCACCTGCCCTTGGCACAAAGAGCTCAAGAACATGCTTATAAAACATTGTATTGTGAGGACTGGAAGGCACCTCAAAGTATCTAGAGGACCAGGACATGTCCTTGTGTAAGATACTGTGACACCAAATAGTGTTTATTCAACATTCATCAAGTGGAGTTCTGGTATGGCACTGTAGGATAAGCACTGGACTGCTAACCACAAGGTTAGTGGTTCAGATCCACCAGATGCTCCTTGGAAACCCTATAGAGGGTCGCTGTGAGTTGGTACCAACTCAATAGCACTTAACAACAACAACAACAATGCATGCTAGGACATGAACAAGATTCAGCTCCTATCCTCAAGAATTTTACAGGTTGGGAAGGAAGCGATGGAAGTTATTGTTTTAAAAGAAAAAGAAAAAAAAACACAAAAAACTCCATAAACCTAAACATCTGCAATCAAACCATGAAAAGAAAGAATCTCACAGACCTAGACAAAGACAGACTTGTACCCTGTACACAGGTATTGAAAACCAGGTTACAGGTGCTAAGAAAGGAGGGAGCACAGGGCTTTATGGGAAGGAATATGGTGGAGGACCTTGAATGCATCACAGGAAAGGCAGGATCAATACTGAGGTCTGACTGTGGAGCAAGAATCATCAGCTCTGTCTGCTTCCTACTTCTCTCAGGAAGTGCACTATTTTGGACATCATTGGCAGGAACATCTCCATCATCATCCTTGAGGTATGTGGGTTGACCTCCAGGCCCACCATGGTCTTTCTGACACTTCCAACACCAGGCAGGGCTCTGTCCTGTCCCAGTGTTCACTAGGGAATCTGCCTGACCCTACTGCAGCCCCATTATTCTGACTCTCTACTCCCTTTTCTCTACTACCTCATTCCTCCTGGGAAGCAAAGGAGACTTAAGATACTGTAGACTCAAAATGAAGTAGGGGATCTACTTTGACGTGAACAAAACCCACGTTAAAGCAGCAGTAAGAATTTCCACTGAAATTACTGAAATTCCATTATTATTACTGAAAGCATTTTGAATTAAGCAGAGAATTTAACAGATTATATAAAACTGCTTTGTTTTGTTTTTTAAAAAATCACAAGTGAATTTCACAGAACTGCCTATCTAATCATTCAGAAAAGACAGCAGCATTTATTTCTGAGTAACTCGATTTGGGCGAAACGAGCCTCTGGGTGAGGAGATCTAACGCTGCCTGTGTTCTGACAGCAGACGAAATGCTCAACACATGGGAGAAAGGTGGTAGGAGGCCATCAAGACAGGAGGAGCAGCTGAACCAGAAGTGGGCAGGATGGGGGCGAGGTCTCAGGGAGCAGGGACAACTAGGGACACGGTATGGACTGAAGAAGGTGGGGTAGGCATGCCAGCTAATCTGGTCTTGAGAAGAGCCACTTGGCATGAATGTCCTGTCCCACCTGTAAGAAGGTGCCTCTTTGTGTGTGTGTGTGTTTGTGTGTGTATGCATACTCACGAGCTCGTGCAAGCCAGTGCATATGCACATGTGTGTCTTTAATTCACTAAACTAAGAAATGTGTTTGGGTGGGAAACATCTACATGTCTACAATTCTCTCAGGGAGATCAGAAGAGGGGAAGGCTGAACTCGTCAAAGCACTTTCTGAAACTGAGCTTGATTCAGCTCCCACAGGAGTGTCTGGGTGGTACAGAGGGTTAATGGACTCAGTTGCTAACCGAAAGGTTGAAGGTTTGAGTCTACTCAGAGGCACCTCAAAAGAAAGGCCTGGTTATCTACTTCTAAAACATTCGCCATTGAAAACCCTATGGAGCACAGTTCTACTCTGGCACACGTGGGGCTGTCATGAGTGGGAGTCAACGCAACAGCGAGTGGTGGTCATCTAAGCTCACACTTGGACTGGAGGCTGGCTGCCAGAGTGCCTGGGAGAACAAGGAGGTGGACAGGAGCTTACACTAACCCGAGAGAGAGACAGAACTCAGGTAGCTGTTTCCATCAGGCTCATGACTGGCAGGGGGACTGAGACAAGATTATTACTTCATGTGTAGGAGAGCAGGAAAGGGTTATAGAAAAATCACTGTAATTTGAGCTGGGCGTTGAGTGACAGGTAGAATCTTGATAGGCAGAGATGGAAATGTGTGGCATTCCAAGCAGACTAGAGAACGCAAAGGCCCCATGAGGGTGCTGTGAGAGCTTGAGGGGGCCTGCTGGAAGGGGCTTGAACATACAGGGCAGTTGTGGAGATGAGGCTGGAAATGGAGTTTGAGGCCTGTCCAGTGTGGGTCCTGAAGTGAGAAACCTCACCTAAATTGGCTAGATAAAAACAGTCCTTCACTTAAACCTTCATTCTTTTATTTATTCACCAAAAATGTAATGAGTACAAACTATCAGTCAGGTGCTCCCTACTTGAGCACACAGGTGAAGAGGGCAAGGCCCTGCCCTCCTCATGCTGGCATAGCTTCTGTGGGGGGTTCTGGGGCAGGGGCACTCCATTCTCAGTGACAGCTTCACGCAGCTCCTTTCAGCTGCAGGGGGAAGGTGGAGGCTCCTGTCCGGTCCAGTGGGAAGGCCAGACCCTGGACTAGGACCTGGTAGTAGGAGGGTCACTTCACAGGGAGGGGCAATTGGAAGGGTCAGTCATGAATATGAAGCCCACTAGCCAAGCCCTCCAGCAGTGAACACAGGGAAGAAAGATCCCCCTCACTCTGGGATAAAGAAATAGGAAAATAGGTCTCGGAGAGGAAAGAGGAGGCCAGAGAGGTAGGAAGGGGGTTCCTGACCCCAGCCAGTAGCAGTCCCCAATTACTGGCCAGAGTGGTGAGAGAACTCATGCCCGGAGCGCCTCTGGTCTTCCTGTCTGTAGTTGTCCTCTTCATCCCGTCCTCTGGAAAACTCTCTTATCTGATCTTGTGGCTCCCTGTAGATCTTCCGATCCCTGTGGGGCAGTGAATGTAGAGTGGAAGGGTTTGCCTCCCTCGGAACCCCATGCTAGGTGGGTTGAGTGGGGAAGAGGAACTACCTTTCCCGTCACCAACTGCAAAGGGACACAGGTGGACAAGAAATGTCACGAACATGTTCCACTCATGCACTAGGAGCTGAGAGCAGTAAAGGATCAGGCTGGCTCCATGACAGTCTCCACTCTGACATCAGAGACAGGAAAAGCATGGGCCTTGGAGTCAAGTCCTTTGGAAGACATTGCCTTTTTCTCAGCTGTGAAATGAGGGTGCTACGAGTCATACCTGTCCCTTAGGGTCCTGTGAGTGGAGAGGCTATGGGACAGGCTGCCTGCCCAGACACTTACGGCCTTGCACCTTCCTTGTCCTCGGGCTTGCCTTTGTCCCGGCAGCAGCAGCAGTAGGCGATGATGCCAATGATGATGAGGACAGCAGTGATGCCCACAGCAATGCCAACATACAGGGCCACATTCATGGAGGCTGCAAGGGGACAGAACAGTTACACTACCCAAGCTCCCAACCCTCATCTACTGACAGGGTCCCGATGCTAGAGGAGACCAAGACTTTGGATGAGACACCACAGCAGCCAGTGTGTGTCTCTGGGAGGCCGCCCCTCACAGCCTCAGGCCAGCCTCAGGTTTCCTCCCAGACCCTAGAGCAGCAGCCGCGGGCTCCTAGCAGACAGATACAAGGCATGTTCTTACAGCACTGTGACCAGACAGGGCTGGGGACTGCTTTTCAGGATGGAGTTCCTGCTGCAGTTTTTCCTGGAGTCAGCTGTGGTGTGTCCTCCCCAAAAGAATGGGTGCTGGAGCCCATGGCAGCTGGCTCTGGAGTCTTCCTCCAGACTCACTGTGTGGCCCTAACAGCAGGCAGGACTGGAGTAGGTTGTGAAAGTCAATTCTAGGCTCTCCTTACAAAGAACCAATGGAACTGGGCTGACCTCAAGGTGAGGGTAGGCTGAGTCACCACAGCTACCCTGCAAATGGGTAGTTCTAAGGAGATTCCCCAATTCATCTCAGTGGGGTGCAGCTGGCTCTTCTGGTTGATGTTCCTTCCCTCTTTATTCCCTCCCACCCTCACAAAGCTGCTCTTACGTGGTCGGACAGACACGGTGATGTTGCAGGATTCCACCCCCACCTCGTTGCTAGAGGAGCAGATGTAGTAACCCGACATGTCTGTGGTGATATTCTTCAGAGGGAAGGTCTGTCCTGTGACTGGAAAAGAAGACAGATAGTGAGGAGATAGGCATTGTGCATGTGCCTAGACTGACATCCACTGCAGGGCACTGTAGAGGTTGTGCCTCAGAGTCCCAGAGGCCTTCCACTTACCAGCTGTATGAGTTTGGACATGTTCATTAACCTCGCTGAGCCCCAGTCAACTTATTTGTTAAAACCTCAAAACTACTGCCATTGAGTCAACTCTGAGTCATATTAACCATATACGACAGGGTATTAATGTCCCATAGGGTTTCCAAAGCTGTCATCTTTATGGAAGCAGGCTGCCACATATTTCTCCCACAGATGGCTACTGGGTTGGGACGCTGTTAGCAAAACCACATGTGCCACCAGAGCTCCATCTCATTTGTAAAACGGGTAATAGTACCTACGGTGGTGTTGTTATATGTCGTTGGGTCGATTCCGAGGAACCACTGTGAGCTTCAACTGCCAAGCTCGCAGTTCAACCGACCTTGCGGTCTAGTGCTTATCCTACAGTGCCCCACCAGGACTCAAATACCTACCATAGGATGCTTTAGAATATTAAATGAAATACTATTTATAAAGTTCTTAACAAAGTGCTTGGAACTTAAGATCTTAGGTATGAATGACCCTTTTCTTATTAAAGTCAGTTGGGGGCATTTTTGTAAAAAAAAAAAAAAAATTTTTTTAAATTGTATTTACAGCTGTAACCATTAGTAGCATCTGTTCACAGCACTTTCTTACACACATACACATATACACTTGTTCCATGGACACTAAAGTACAATGGAGTACAACTAGGCAGGAGTCTCACTGCCAAAAACCAAACCCACTGCTGTTGAATTGATTCTGATGCATAGTGACCCTACATAGGGTTTCTGAGACTGTAAATCTTCATGGGAGCAGGTAGCCTCATCTTTCTCCTATGGAGCAGCTGGTAGGTTTGAACCACTGATCTTAGCCAATACCTAACCAACAGCAAGCTGGGAATTAGGAGAACTGAATTTCTGGGCAGAACTGAATTTCTGCACTACCATGGACCCTCCCTGAACCTTAGTCTCATCTGGAGAAAAAGGCTGGGCAAGGCACACAAACCTGAAGTATTTCAAATTCAGTCAATTATTCCAGGTTCAAAACCTGGCTCTGCTACTTATTAATTTTATGGCTTTGGGAAAGTCATCTAGCTTTTTTGAACATCAATTTCTTCATTTATAAATGTAAGTAATAATAGTACCTGCCACTACTCATCTGTCAGTTTGTTGTACTGTCGTGGCTTTTGTGTTGCTGTGATGCTGGAAGCTATGCCACTAGTATTTTATGTACCAACAGGGTCATCCATGGTAGATGAGTTTCAACAGACTTCCAGACTAAGACAGACTAGGAAGAAGGAGTGGCAGAATACTTTTGACTGTTTACCCATTAGAAACCTTATGAATAGCAGCAGAACACTGTGAGATATAGTGCCAGAAGGTGAAAACATTACGAATAGTGCCAGCATATTGTTAGGTACAGTGCTGGAAGATGAGCCCTTCAAGTTGGAAGGCACTCAAAATGTGACTGGGGAAAAGCTGCCTCATCAAAGTAGAATTGATCACAATGGACAGGAACTTTCAGGACTTTCATTTACTGATGGGGCACAACTCAAAATGTGGAGAAACAGCTGTAAACATCAATTAATAATGGGAACATGGAATGTATGCAGTATGAATCTAGGAAATTTGGAAGCTGTCAAAAATGAAATGGAATATATAAAAATCCATACTCTAGGCTGAAATGGACTGGTATTGGCTGGTATTAATGAGCTGAAATGGACTGGTATTGGCCATTTTGAATCAATAATCAAATGGTTTACTATGCCAGGAAGGACAAATTCAGTAGGAATGGTGTAGCATTCATCATCAAAAAGAACATTTCAAGATCTATCTTGATCAAACAGACTGTTTTAAAATTGATTGATTACAGGGTAATCTCAAAAAAATTTTAATATATCTTCATATCAAATCAACAAAAGGAAAATCCATGAAGATTTTGTAGACATTAAATTTATGAAGAAATTGACAAGAAAAATCATACACAAAAATGAACTCAGCACAGGAAAGTATGTGGAACAAAGAAACCAGCAGTACCACAAAACAATGCACAGAAAAATTACTGCAATCAATTCATACCCATTGATAATTTTACTGAACGCCAATGGGTTACATGTACTTACAGTCAAGAGACAAAGTAGCAGAATGAATAAGAAATCAGGATCCTTCAATATGCTGTCTATAAGAGGCACAGCTTACACACAGAGACATAGCTTTAAAGAATGGAAAAATATATCAAGCTAATGGCATTCAAAAAAGCAGGAGTAGCAATAGTAATCTCTGATAAAATAAACTTTAAGGCAAAAACCAGCATAAGAGACAAAGGAGGACATTATCTCATGACTAAAGGATCAATTGAAAAAGAAGGCATAACCATAATAAATATCCATGCTCCCCCAAAAAGCCTAAAAATACATAAATCATCCTTTAATAGAATTGAAGAAATAGATAACTCTACAGTAATAGTTGTTGTTGTTGTTATGTGCCGTGGAGTTGGTTCTGACTCATAGCGACCCTGTACAGGGTTTCTAAGGCTGTAAATATGCGAGCAGAAAGCCTCATCTTTCTCCCGCAGAACAGCTGGTAGTTTTGAACTGGTGACCTTAAGGTTCGCATCCTGATTCATAACCACTACACTACACTTTAACATACCACTTTCGAAAAAGGACAGACCAACCCAAAAGAAACTAAACAACCCGATCAATCAACTTGACCTCATAGATTTATATAGAGCACTCAACCCAACAACAGCACAATGCACATTATTTTCCAGTGCACATGGAACAGTCTCCAGAATAGACCATATATTAGGCCACAAAGCAAGTGTCAATAAATTTAAAAACATCAAAATACTACAAACCATCTTCTCAGATCACAATGATATGAAATTTGAAATCAACAATAGGAAGATCAAGGGAACAAAGTTTATGTTGAAGTACAACACTGTCTGTGATAGGATAATATCCATATGCTTATAAGGAAGACCACTTAATACTACCATTATTCAAATGTATGCACCAACCACTAAAACCAGTGATAATGAAATAGAAGATTCTACCAACTTCTTCAGTCTGAAATTGATCAGACATGCAATCAGAATGTATTGATAGTTACTGGTGATTGGACTGCTAAGATTGGAAACAAAAAGAAAGGATCAGTTGAAAAATACGGTCTTGGTAATAGAATTGATGCTATAGCTAGCATGATATAATTTTGCAATACCAATGACTTGCTCATTGCAAGTATCTTTTTAAAATAGCATGAAAGATGACTACCTCACAAGATGGAGTTCAAGAAATCAAATTGACTATATCTATTAAAAGAGATGGACTTCTGGTGTGGCACTGTGAATGAGCAGTGGACTGCAAACCACAAGGTCAGCAGTTCAATCTCACCAGCTGCTCCTTGGAATCTCTATATAGGGTCACTATGAGTTGGAACCAACTTGACAGCACTTAACAACAACAACAACAACAACAACAATAATTAAAAGAGACAGACAGTGGGAAAGCTCCCTGTCATCAGCCAAAACAAGGCCAGGTGCAGACTGTAGAACAGACCATCAATTGCTCATAACGCAAATTCAGACTTAAGCTGAAGAAAATTAAAACAAGTTCACTAGAACCAAGCAAGGTATGACCTTGAACATATCCCACCTGAATTTAGAGATCATCTCAAGAACAGACTTGATGTATTAGACACTAATGACCGAAGAACAGAAGAGCTGTGGGACAACATCAAGAATATCACACAGGAAGAGAACAAAAGGTCATTTAAAAGGGTAGGAAAGAAAGAACAGACCAAAATGCATGTCAGAAGAGACTCTGAAACTTGCTGTCCAGTGCAAAGATATTAAAGCAAATGGAAGAAATGATGAAGTAAAAGAGCTAAACATTAAATTTCAAAGGACAGCTTGAGAAGACAAAATCTTATCGATTTTGTGTGAAGACCTGAAGTTAGAAAACCAAGAAGGAAGAACACACTCAGCATTTCTCAAGATGAAAGAAGTGAGGAAAAAATTCAAGTCTCAACTTTCAATATTGGAGGATTCTATTGGTAAAATATTGAATGATGCAGAAATCATGAAAGAAGATGGAAGGTATACACAGAGTCACTGTACCACAAAGAGATGGTCAATGTTCTACCATTTCAAGAGGCAGCATATGATCAAGAACCGATGGTGCTGAAGAAAGGAGTCCAAGCTGCACTGAAGATATTTCTGTAGAACCAGACTCCAAGAATTGACAGAATACAAATTGAAAAATGTCAACAAACTGATATAGTACTGGAGGTGCACACTCATCTTTACCAAGAAATTTGGAAGCCAGCTCCCTGGCAAACTGATTGGAAGAGATCCATATTTGTGCCCATTCCAAAGAGAGGTGACCCAATGGAATGCAGAAATCACGGGACAATATCATTAATATTGCATGCAAGTAATATTTTGAAGAAGGTAATTCAAAAACTGCTGCAGCATCTACAGGGAACTGCCAGAAATTCAAACTGGATCAGAAGAGGACGTAGAACTAAGGATATTATTGCTAACGTCAGATGTATCTTGGCTGAAAGCAGAGAATACCAGAAAGTTTACTTGTTCTTTACTGATTATGCAATGGTTTATTGATTGTGTGGATCATGACAAGCTATGAATAACATTGCGAAGAAAGGGTATTCCAGAACATCTGAATGTGGTCATGAGCAACCTGTACATAGACCAAAAGGCAGTTGTTCAAACAGAAGACGGGGGATACTGAATGGTTTAGAATCAGGAAAGGTGTACACTAGGATTGTATTCTTTCACCATACTTATTCAATCTGTATGTTGAACAAATGATCCAAGAAGCTGGGTTATAAGAAGAAAAGAATGGTATTAGGATTGGAAGAAGACTCATTAACAACTTATGATATAAAGATGATACCTTGCTTGCT